GTCCATCCTCACATCACCCCCACCCAGATTACAGGTACAAAAGTAAGATAGGGGCAGCTAGGTGGCACAGTGGATAGAGCACTGGCCCTGAAGTCAGGAGGACCTGAGTCCAAATCCAGCCTCATACCAAACACCTGTCACTTACTAGCTGTGTGACTCTGGGCAAGTCACTTAACCCCAATTGCCTAAAAAAAAAAAAAAAAAAAAAAAAAAAAAAAAAGATAGAAGGGACATAAATAGGGTTCGAACAAAGACTTAAAAAGTAACACCATGACCTTATTCCTAATATATGTCAACCTCCATAAATCCCTTTTATATACCCCAAATTTCCCAAGGATCATACCCACTCATCGAATATGAGAACCAATAATTTACAATAACTGCTAACCAGAATTAAGTTAAATACAAGCAACAAAATACTTTACCATACTATGTGTGGATTTACAATACGAAATTCATGTATTAACACAGATCTGTATAGGCCTTCCTTTAACTAATATATTCATAATTTTAGTACGTTTCTGAATAATTCTCTAAGTAAACTAAGGAACTTAAAAGCAAGATCTTTTTTAGAACAGCTAATATACTGAATAACAATGTCATGTAAAAAATCTGGAGACACTTGAATGATGCCCAGATCTAAGATGAAATTTAATAGAAATACATGTGTGTATGTACACATAAAAGTCTATTATTAGTTGGGCTTTTTTTTAATCAACTGAACAAACACTGGAAGGGGAAGGCATTAGATAATATGCCAAAAATTATTTATAATTTCAGTTAAGGAAAATCAATATCCTTAACTCTAATTTTATATACATACACATGCTAGAATTCCATTTCCTTATATTTTATCTTAGTCTACCTACTTTTTATCCACTTTATTAGAATTATTTATATTCCATTGTACATGTAGATTTTTTAAAAAACATTGCAATGACACAAAAACGTGCTTCTCATGTTCATAACACTATATTGTTTGAAAGAGAGGTCACACTTTTCCCATTAATTTTTGGCTTGCATAAAACCTGAGTGAGGCCAATAATCAGTGTTGGTTTTCAATGTGTTCCTATGTATATTTCCCCCTTTTAAATACATCTCATTTTAGGCTTCTATTCAGATCAGCTTGGGGTATAATGAAATGGTAACTATCAATTTGATGTGTCTATATACATTGATGATTATAATTCCATCATATTAAGATTTATAATTTGCTTCAAGTTGCTAGCAAAGACCTGCTCTGGAAAATCTAAGCTGGTTCTGATAGTCTCAAGGAAAGATACAATGGACAACTATGGAGCAAGTCTTCCCTTAGTTTTTGAGCTCTATTTGCAGGGAATATGGGGTGAAGTCAAATTATCACTTGTACATTCAACTTAGATCCAACACTAACAGTATCCCTCACCTACTTTTGAGGATAAAGTTTCCACATGGTAGACAAAATTTCAAAAACCCTGAAAAGATGCTCCACATCTCAAAAGAAAAAAATATCCAACATCTTTCTTGAGCCCATACACTCCTAAAGCCATTTTAATAACCTCTTCATTTTAACATACAAATGCAATAGAACCCCACTGTAACACTGTAACTGGTATCAGGAGATGAGAATAAAAGCATGTTACAATGATAGGGATATACTATATACATCACTATGTACTTGGAAGGATATGATTTAATATTTAGTTTTGTATAAAATGACAACATAACAAAATACTTTACGAGTTACTGCTGTATTATTACAAGTATTATTTACAATCCTCCAACATTCTTGCTAATAATGCTAAAATGACTAATAAACTGCTAGATGCTCCTAAAATAAGGCCACCTCCACTAGAATAAGAACATCTTGAGGGCAAAGACTGTTTTCACTTTTCTGCCTCCATGCTTCTTAAATGACTGAAATATAATGAAATACTGGATCAATCAACCAAAAAAAAAAAAGTCATCAGGATGTTTTCTCTAAAGCAAAGACCTGGGGTTCTCCTAGAAAAACATGAAACTACTTCACTTTTATGAAAGCATTCATACTTTAATTCAAGATGCTCTTCTAACCTCAAATTCATTATAATTAGAGATGTTTGTTGAAACTGCCTCCTAGAAACATGAAAATGGAATTACATATTTAAGTTTCAAAGACTACAATTATATGTGTAGTCAGGTCTAAATATCTGCAAAAAAATAAAAATTACTATTTATACATTATAAATTGTATCACTTCACATTACATACTTATCCAATTTTTAATTTGTTGAAAGCATAAATGATTGTTATTTTAAGATTATAGCTTTAAGTTAACTTTCAGGTTTTCTACACCCCAGACTGAAGACATGAAAAAATAACTTACATTTACCTTTGCAGGGCCATTAAAAAAAAAAAAAGCTACTTCTATATTCACTTCAGGTCCAACCCTGTCAATGCCCTGGTCACTGATGACCTACAATTCAGATTATCTGGAATTTACTCAAGCTATATTCAGTTAGTCAATAAGCATTTAAGTGCCTTCTATGTGCTAGGCACTATGATAAGAATTGGAGATATAAAGAATGGAAAAAGACAGATCCTGCAACAGAGAAGCTCAAAAGGTAACATGGGAGACCACAAGCAAATATGTGTACAAACAAGCTGTATACAGGAGAAACAGGAAATAATTAACATAGGGAAGAAACTAGAATAATTAAAAAGGGATTGGAAAAGGCTTCCTATAGAAGGTGGTAGCTGCAACTTAAACCAAGAGTTGGAGATGAGGGAAAGCACTAAAAAGAAAATTAAAATATGCTTTATGATTTTTAAGAAAAATTCATTATTTTCACAAAACATAATAACCCTTGCCAAATCACATAAAGGTTTTAAATCATTTCAAAATTTCAGTATAAATAAGCTTTCAACCCACCAATAAGAATAAATTTGAGAGCATTTTTTTCTTCTTAAATAATACATTTGAAATAAGAGCTGGACAACATAAGCTTCAAAAACACTAAAAGAATAATGATATATTAACAACAATTAGTAACCACATGACAGGATGCTGGAATTGGAGCCAGGAAAACCTTTCAAATCAGACCTCAGGCACTTTCTAACTCCGTGACTCTAAAAAAGTCACTTCATCTCTGTGCCTCAGTTTCCTCATACGTAAAATGGGGATATTAATAACACCTACCTCTCGGGTCAATGTGAGGGTCAAATAAGATAACATATGTAAAGTACTTTGCAAAATTTAAGGCACTTAAATAAGTGTACTATATAGCCACTATAGGCACTAAATAAATGCTAGTTATTTATTAGCTATGATTTCATAATCTTAGCTATTTTAGTAGGAAAAATTTGTAATATTTTGTCATATATATTATAACCTTAGAAAGGGCTATTGCCCTAATTAAGTAAAGCAAAAAAGTGTAAACTGGAAAATTCAATTAAACAAGTACTTTTATTATTAATTTCTATAAAACTTTAAGACAGTCCCCCTCCGGGGCAGCTGGGTGGCACAGTGGATAGAGCACAGGCCCAGGACTCAGGAGGACCTGAGTTCAAATTCGGCCTCAGACACATAACACTGGCTGTGTGACCCTGAGCAAGTCACTCACCCCCATTGCCTAGCCTAAAAAAAAAAAAAAAAGACAGTCCCCCTCCTCTTGCTGGTAGTTATGCTCAACTTTTTAAAAAGGGGAAGGGGCCACTCAAAAAGTTATACAATAGTCATAGAAACAGTAACAAATTATTAATGACCTTTTGACAATTCTAACACTAGACCTAAGTGAAGTTTAGAAGGTATATAACATCAACAACAAATAATAAATCAACTGTGACACTTGCATGGTAAATGAAATGAAAATGAGATTTAAAACATTATTCAAAGATTATTTCTAACATGTCACTAGTTTATAGATTTAGAGTTGAAGACCTTAGAGATCATCTAGTCCATTTACAGATTAGGAGGCCCACAGATGTTCAGCAATTTGCACAGTATTCTGAGATATTACCTTAAAATAAAATCTATCACATACCCTATGTGCTCAAATAAGTATTCATAACTACTTAAAATGAATGATAGAAGAAATGTTCTGCTCAACAGTTTTATAGTCGTGTGTGTGTAAATGGTTATTAACCAAGTCTTGCTTGACAAAGCAATTTTTAAAAACATTACACTAAATATATTTTAAAAACATCACCACCCTCTTAATACTAACAAATTCATTAATTTCGATATCTGTTTGTTTAAAGAAAGCTGAAATGTACACAAGGCAGGAAGGAAGTTTAACAGGTCATCAAAGAAATAACTGATTTTAGCCTTCTTAAAACAAATTTATCTTGCTCAGCTAATATTTCACTCGCATTGCACAGCCATTTGCTACAAAACAAAAAGAAATATAACACTAATATGCTTTCAGTAAAATGGGTAAGTTCCTGTTTTGAAAAGTGTCAACATTTCCATGAAACCAAAGTACAAAAAAAAACCCCACCTCTGCTAAATCCCAGGTGCCCACTTAATTTTACACCTCCACTTGACAGCAGCATGGCCTTTCCAGCTAGGAGTCGGGCCCTCGATGGCTGCCTTCCTCCCTCTCGCTCTCCCCCAAGTTCTGCCGTTAAAAGGGCGAAAGGACAAGCGGCCACCGCGTCCCCCCAGCTCCGTCCCCGTTAGAGTGCGTGGGTCTCGAGGGCCCATCCCTCCCCAACCCCCAATCGCCGCCAGGGTCGAGGCTGCCGGGATCGCAAGCCACGGGGCGGCCCAGGAGCGGCGGCGGCGGCCCCGAGTCTCCTCCGACGCTTTCCCGGGCCCAGCGCCCCCGGTCCCCAGCCCTCCTCAGCCCCTCGCCCCGGCCCCGGGGACCAGCCGCCGGCCGCCTTCCACGGCTCTGGGGCCGACCGGGAAACCCCATGTCTTAAGGAGAAGGAAACCCTTCGCCCTCTCTCCCATTTCCAAACCAGCACCAGGACGAGAGTTAGGAGAAGGACTGGGCCAGGGAGGAAAAAAAGTGAAGAAAACCGGCACGAAAACAGACCTGTGGAGACCGCCATCTTCTCCTGCAACCCGGGACTTCTGCCGCCCTGCACGCGCCCCGCCGCGTCATGCGGCGTCACTTCCGGGCGCGCGCGCGCCGCAGCCGGCGCCGCAGCCGGCGCCTCCGCCCCCCACCCCCCTCCCCTGCAGCCTCCGGGGCTTCCAACTGACTCGACTGAGGCGGATCCGACAGCTTCCCTCCTCCCGGCTCTGGGCTCCCCTTCGACTCCCCGCAGCATTTGCCCGTCGCCTTCCCGGCTGCGGGTGAGATGACCTTCCCCAGGTTCTGGGACTAGTCCTTATCAATTCGCATCTTTACCCTGTGGAAGCCTCGGCCACCATCCCACTTCCGACACCCCACCCCCAACGGCCAAGATTCGTTGACGTCCCCAGGTGTAGGGGAGGGGAAGTGGGACGGAGAGAAGATGGAAAACCCGAGGGCGACCCCCTCCCCCCAGCCAAGCTTCGCTGCTGCCCCGAGACCGGGATGGGAGGGAGGGGATACAGAGAACCCAAGGGAACGCCGACCCCGCCCCCGAAGCCGAGTTTGGCGGATGTCCGGAGGGGGAGGGGCGAGGAGATACAAAGGAACCCGTGGGAACGGCGGGTCCGAGGGACTAGAGGAAGCACCGAAAGCTGGAGTGGGGAAAGGCTTGCGCCCCGTGTAGGGGAACCCCTTAACTTTTACCTGAGTAAGTGATAAGGGGGAGTAGCTTTTTCAACCTCGTTGTATGGTGTCAAGGAGAGAGGGGGTAATGGGCGCCCAGCCACCTGGAGCACAACCACAAAAGTAAAGCTACCAGGGATGCTGCTTTTTAAGAGTTAAGGTCCCAGGATACACAGGTTGCTTTGGAAAGTGGTGTTGCTACTAATCCTACGTACACTTCAGAGGCACGTGCCTGACCCTTCAGTACTCCGCACAAAAGTCTTAAATTAATCTTATCCTGTTGATAGTACTTGTATCTTCCCTTCACAATCTGAAAATTAAGACGCTAGATTATTAAATGTAACTATAGCTTTTTTTTTTTTTAAAGGTTCTTGCCATACTGCAGTATCTGATTGCTTTTTTTTTTAAACAACTACAGCTTCTACCTGAAGGTCAGAATCCTCGTTTAAAGCCCCTCTTTCAGCATGTTGCGCCTCAGCCGTCCCTGATTTTCTACCCAAATACGTTGTAATGATCATAACTCCAAAAGTCTCACTTAACACGTATGTAATCACTTAAGTATGTTCTATTATAGTTGGTGTCTTATTCCCCTACTAGAATGGTGAGTTTTGTGAGGTCAAAGATGGTGTCTAATCTAATAACTCAGTATTTTCCTCTAGCATTTATCACAGTGCATAATACATAAATGTTTAAATGAAGAATGAATAAATCATTCTTGGTGAAATTGTGTTGTCTTAGTATATATTCTTCTAATTCCGCTTTTTTCTCACTACATCTCTCATGTATTCCCATATTTTTTAGTATTCTTTCTATTTGTTGCAATGATATTCTGCTTTGCTAATATATGCCACAATTTATGCCGCTGTTTCTCAATGGTTGAATCTTTATGCCCAGTTTTCATTACTAGAATAAATAAAGCTGCTATGGATATCACTTAAAAAAATAAATTGTATTGTCTTTTAACATAGGCTAATTATTATTAAACTTTAAGTTTCACAGAACCTTAACCAACAAACCAAATGCTGATTCTGAAATTCCTCTTATTATTATTATCAGTTATTCATCAACACTGAAATTCCTTTATCTGATAATCTCTGGTCCTTCCACCTTTTCCTCAGAGTTACAACCTCAACCCAGTTCTTTATGGTCCCTTGACCTCCAATCCCTTCATCTGACCCCAATCACCGCACTTCTCACCTCTTCCCCATGCCTTCATCCCTGCATTGACTACTTTCACCTCTGCTCTCCATCTTGATCCTTTGGTAAACCATTTCAATTCTGCACTGTCCTTTTCTCTCCAGTCCTTTTTCTGTCTCCTTTCTTGCCCTGCCAGGTCCTAGCCTTGAAATACTCCCCCTGTCACTCTTACTTATGTACGCTGAACAAAGCTGGATGCTGACCACCTTGCTGTTCATCAAACAAGATATATCTCCCAAGTCTAGGCATTTTCAGTTGCTATTCTCTGTGCCTGTAATTCTCTTCCTCCTTCTCTCTGCCTCCTGGCTTCCTTCTATTCAAAAACCCACCTTCTACAGGAAGCCTTTCCAGATCCCCTTAAGATAGTGCCTTTCCTCCAGTGATTATCTCCAATTTATTCTGTATCTTGGTGGTAGATAATGGTTGCCTGTTGTCTTGCCCTTTAGTCTCTGAGCTCCTTCAGAGCCACAACTGTTTTTTTGTCCTTTTTTTGTATAACTAGAACTTAACATGTTGCCTGGCACATAATAGGTACTTAATAAATACCTTTCAACTTGACTAATGTCCTTTACAGGCTATATATATAGAGACCCAGTTGGCTCTCTATTCTTAAATACCCCAGTTAGGGCCATTTAAGACTCACTTAAAGACTTAGCTCTATACCACCCTTTGGAACCTATCTAACTAAATAGACTCTGTACAGAAGGAAAAAAAAGGCCTTCTGAATCCATAATTCAAATGGTTCGATCTCAAATAGCTTACTTGATGTGATTCTAAGTTTATAAAACACTTTCCTTATTCATTCCTCATTCACAGAGTAAATGGTATAACTTGTTACAAATGAAAAGTCTAGAGAAACATAATTTCTGGGTAATTAATCTGTTAATTATAGCTAGCAAACAAATAATAGCTTGAGGTCAGTGGCTTTCTCTTATAAACCAAAGACCACCCCCAGAACATTGAATGCTTAAAAAAGCCTTTGGAAGAGGGGTGTACCTGAGGACAGAGTCAACTCTGGTTAACAATCAATGAGGGAGTGAACATATTGAAGAGGAGGTGGGCAAAAAGTCTTCAGCTCCTCCTGCTGAGAATGTGACCTGATCATGAAACTGGGCTACCCCTAGCAATTTGTACAAAAGAATCTACTCTACCCAGACTACTCTGTCTGGTTTTCCCCTTCATAAACTGGTACTCAAACCCAAGTTTCTTCGCTCCCAAGTCCAATGCTTTTTCTATTATGCCTTGTTACTATTCCTGTGCTAAACTTGCAGCTAAACTCTAGTACTTGTACCTTCTTCATTTTCAGTAAACTCTTTATCTCATGCCTCAGCTCCACTAATTATATGTCCTGTATACCTCCCTGATGCCTAGGTTCTTGTTTAGGGATCCTGTTTTTTACAGTAATTCCTCCAGCAGTAGGACCAGGTGAAATAGAGAATCTCAGAGGCATACAGAAACCATTGTTAGCAGGGGTATTTAAGATGTAGGAAGATCTGTTCCCAGGTAGATAAGTATGCTTGCCACAATCTTGGTACCTCTAGGTAGGTTGAGTGTATTCCAGAGTGAAGGTTAGACCCAGGTAAGCCTCTAGAGCTTGGTGAGAAGAGTAAGGCTAGCTTTCTAGAAGTTCTTATGTGAGTGTTTCTATGCTTCTCCAGAAACTCAGCTAGCATGGAACAGCTAGAAAATTTTATGTTGGAGATATCTTTTTGGATTTCTCATGGCAGCATTTGGTATCATTCCTGGTGGTATGCGTCCAGTAAAGTTTGAGGCTGTGACAAAGCTATTTATGTACAGCCCAGACTGAACTTTGTTTTATTAATTTATTTTGATTTATTAACAATCACTTCTGTAAGCTTTTGAGTTTTAAATTTTTCTCCTCCTCCCCCAAGACGGCCTGCAATATGATATAGGCTATACATAGACATTCCTATTAAACATTTTCACATTAGTGATGTTGTAAGGAAGAATTAAAACCAATCGGAGGAACCACAAGAAAGAAAAAACAAAATAAAACAGAAAAATAACATAGTATGCTTTGATCTGCATTCAAACTCCATAGTTCTGTCTTTGGATATGAATATCATTTTCCATCATGAGGCCTTTGGAGATGTCTTAGATCCTTGAATTGCTGAGAAGGGTTAAGTCTGTCAAAGTTAGTCATCAAACAAAACGTGGCTATTACTGTGTACAGCGTTCTCCTGGTTCTGCTCACTTCACTCAGCATCAGTCCATGCAAGTCTTTCCAGGTTTTTCTGAAGTCAGCCTGTTCATCATTTCTTATAGCACAATAGTATTCCATTACATTCATGTACCACAGCTTGTTCAGCCATTCCCCAGTTGATGGGCATCCTCTCAATTTCCAATTCTTTGCCACCACAAAAAGCTGCTATATATATTTTTGTACATGTGGGTCCTTTTCCCATTTGTATGATCTCTTTGGGATACAGCCTTAGAAGTACTATTGCTGGGTCAAAAGGTATGCACATTTTTATAGCCCTTTGGGCATAGTTCCAAATTGCTCTGCAAAATGGTTGGATCATTTCACAACTCCACCAACAATGCATTAGTGTTCCAATTTTCCCACATCTTCTCCAATATTTATCATTTTCCCGTTTTGTCATATTGGCCAGCCAGACTGAACTTTTGATCTGGTAATTGTTTTGACACTCTGCCCCATCACTATAAAGTTGAGTTTGAGAGCCCTAAATATATAACAGAGCGGAGAAATACTCGATGGCCATATAGATTTTTTTGAAAGAAAAAATACATATTGTTAATAACCACTTTAAAAGTTTATATCAGCAAAAATGTATCAAGCACCTACTTTGTTCAAGAAACTACCAGGTGCCCAGGATTTCGACATACAAAGTTCAAATTCTATAATAATCAAAAACTAGCAAATAAAAACTTTTAAGGCACCACCTTACACATATCAAATTGGCAAAGATAGATAAAAATAAGTGTTTAAAAAGTGTCTTCAGGGAAGCGGGTACTCTATTATATTATTGGCAAGGTTTCTGGGGAATACTTAGGAACATAAAATAGTCACAAAGTTGATCATGACCTTTGGCCCAGTAATCCCCTTGCTAGGTCTACAAAGGATCAGTCAGTTTAGAGAAGTTAGTAATTTGAAAGATAACTAGGAAAGTTCAACACTATCATTTTATAGATAAGGAAACTGAGGCCTTCAAAGGCTAAGTAATTTG